GGCAGAGCAGCAGTTAAGAAGATTGCCCTATGTGCCATTAAGGGGCATGTAGGAGACAGTGGCCACTTAATTTGGAGGTTTGGATTCATGGGCAATAAAGACCCCAGATCAAAATAAGAATAACTGAGTACTTTATTAAGAGAAAGCAAAGTGAAAGCCAGAATCAAGAGCAGACACCACCAGATGGGAACTCACCAACATCTGAACACAAATGTTGGGGGATCCCGGAGACAGCATTTGGGGTCCCACTGGGAAAAGTTCCAAGCAACATGTCCTCCTCTCGGGTGGGATTCCACAGTCTCGCTTTGGGGCTATACTTAGTTTTTAGACAATGGTGACTATATGTCAAGGGCCTTGCATGACTCAGTTAACTAATAGGTCCTTCCGGGAGAAGGGCCAGTTCTCCCTGAAGGAACAGCCATACCATCAAAAGTTGAACATTAACAGTACTGGTCTCCCTGGAAGAAGGGCCCATTCTCCCTGGAGAGAGCACATCAACATTTTATTCTTACCCAGCCAAGATGGAGGCATAGGTAGAAACACTTTCCCTCCTTGCACAACCAAAAATAACCAGAACTGCCAGAAAATCTAACTGAATGGAAGTCCGACAACCAAGGAGTTAAAGGGAAAACATTCCTCCAGACCAGTAGGAGGGGCTGAGATGGGCAGCAGGGGGCAGAGAGGCCGCAAGGCAAGACTGCAGCTGGAGGAGGCAAGGCGGCAGCTGGAGGACTGGGCAGGTGAGGCGGCAGCTAGCAGACCGGGCAGTCTCACGTTTGTGTGTGGAGAAACCGGAGGAACAGCTGGGAAGTGAGACAGACCATGCAACCCAGTGTTCCAGTGTGGGAAAAGAAAGCCTTAAAACCTCTGGAGGTAAGAAAAAAACTGTAGGGGTTGCGGCGGCAGGAGAAACTCCCAGCCTCACGGGAGAGTCCAGTGGAGAGACCCACGGGGTCCTAGAACATACACAAATCCACCCACCTGAGAATCAGCACCAGAAGGGCCCAATTTGTTTGTGGGTAGAGGGGAAGTGATTGAAAGCTGGCTGAGAGCTGAGCAAGTGGCACTGTTCCCTCTCAGATCCCTCCCCTACATACAATGTTATAACACAGTGACGTGGGTTGCCCTGCCCTGGTGAATATCTAAGGTTCAGCCCCTTACAGCATAACATGTGCGCTGAGACAAAGAAATATGGCCCAAATGAAAGAACAGATCAAAGACCCCAAAATAGAACTAAGCTGATGAACAGATAGCCAACCTATCAGATGCACAGTTCAAAACACTGGTAATCTGGATGCTCACTAAATTGGCTGAGTATGGTCACAAAATGGAGAAAAAAGCAGAGGCTATGCAAAGTGAAATAAAGGAAAATATAGAGGAAACCAACAGTAAAAGGAAGGAAACCAGGACTGAGATCAATGATTGGGAGCAGAAAGAAGGGATAAACATAGAGGAAGAGCAAGAAATTGAAAACTTATTTGAAAAAATAATGAAGGAGAACTTCCCCAATCTGACAAAGGAAATAGCCTTCCAAGAGATCCAGGAAGCTCAGATAGTCCCAAAGAAGTTGGACCCAAGAAAGCACACACCGAGGCACTTCATAATTAAGTTACCCAAGATTAAAGATAAGGAGAGAATCTTAAAAGCAGCAAGAGAAGAGGAGACAGCAACCTATGAAGGAGTTCCCATAAGACTATCAGCTGATTTCTCAAAACAAACTTTGCAGGCAAGAGGGGGCTGGCAAGAAGTTTTCAAAATTATGAAAAGCAAGGGCCCACATCCAAGATGATTCTATCCAGCAAAGCTATCATTTAGAATGGGAGGGCAAATAAAAGTGCTTCCCGATGAGGTAAAGTTAAAGGAGTTCATCATCACCAAGCCCTTATTATATGAAATGTTAAAGGGACCTACCTAAGAAAAAGAAGATAAAAAACTATGAACAGTAAAACAGAGGAAGAATGGGGGAAAACGTACAAGGAATAAGAAGCATAAATAGTCGGTACAAAATAGGCAGGGGAAGGTTAAGAATAGTATAGGAAATTGAGAAGCCAAAGAATTTATATGTACATGAACTAAGGTAGGCTGGAGTGGGGGGAGGAATGTTGAGGTGGGATGGGGTGGTGTAGGGTAGAGGGGAATAAAGGGGAGGAAAAAATGGGACAACTTTAATAGCATAATCAATAAAATTATATTAAGAAAACATTTTATTCTCACAATAAAAGTCATGACTTGGGCATAAACAGGAAGGTTTCTTAACGTCCCTTTAACTGGTCACCCTACCACAGACTTAAAGAGCACCTAGGCAGAGTCCAAAGGCTTCAGCTGAACTGGCAAAACTCCAGAAGCTCAAGAATGCCACCTGTGTGTGTGGCACATGCACACACAATTTGATTTCCAACACCGGATTTGGAAGATGGTTTATTAAGTGTTTCTGGGCAACACTCCTTCCCGAGAGTTCAGAGCATGTTAGAGCCACTACCTCGGAAACCTTTCAAACCTACTGAAAAGTAGAAGAGCGCATTTCTGACCTATAAGAACAGAGTCTGAAAGCTCACCCATGTCTCATGATTATATTTCAGTGCTCTGCTCTTTTAAACACACTCTTCTAAAGGGACCACACTTGTTTTTCTCCCCAGACCATTCTGTCATTTAGCTACAGAACCTCAGCTTTGTATTTATAAATAATGTTTGAGGTTTACATCAAGGTTTTTGTTTCTTCTAATGTACTACCGTCACACACAACTTCCAAACTTAGAAGAAAAGAGTAGAGTTTAGAAAGAAGCCCCATATCCCAGATCATGCACATTTTAAGTGATGCAGTGCTGATGGGTATGTTTGACCATAACGAGCCTCTCACTTGAGGTTAAGAACGCTGGCGTTGGAGACGCAGCCTGTGCTGGGAGCTCTGCTCTACCCCTTACACGTGGTGTGACTTTGGGCAGGTCACTTAACTAAGGTCAATTTCCTCATTTGTGAAATGAAAATAACACCTGCTTTATAAAGTTGATGAGAGGATTAAATGTGTAAAAAGCACGTAGCACAGTTTCTAGGGTGAAGTAGGAATTCAAAAAATACCGAGGTACTGTTGTTCTGGTTATAGGCGGGTAGGAAACATAGATCATCTCATCAGACTTCTTGTCAATAATTCAGTGGCTCCCAGCTGGGGGTAATTTTTCCCCCAGAGGGCATTAGGCAATGTCTGGAGACTTTTTTGATTGTCACAGATGGGGAATGCTACTGGCATCTAGTAGGCAGGAGCCAGGGATATAAAATGCTGAACATCCTACAATGCACAGGACAGCCTCTCAGGAGGAATTATCCAACCCAAATGTCAACAGTAGTGAGGCTGAGAAACCCTAGAAACTAAGCAATGTGAGGTTTATAATCTATTGAAACCATATAACAACTTGAGTTACTCAGATCTGGGGAAGTACTTTGCACATACTATTTTGGGATCTGAAAATTTGAAGTTTCCATTGTGAAGGAGAAGCCCTAATGGTTAGTCTTAGTAATCTCTGGACACGACCAAGTCACGCTTAGTGACAAATAACTGTAGGTTCTCATCAGAGAATATGCAACATTTCCTCCTGCCATGCGGATAACATTTGTGACAGTAATTTCTCACCTGACCAAAATATTTTCTTAAGACCCACTGTACCATTAACCCTCTGTTCTGCAGCCTATTGTACTGAGAGATTTTAGTTTAGGGAAGTGATTTTCAACATTTTTCATCTTGTGGCACACAATAAATTACTAAAATTCTGCAGCACACTAAAAATATATTGTATTTTTTGCCAATCTGACAAAAATAGATATCATTTTTGATTTATTCACACTGGATGGCTATTAAGGTGATGGCTGTTGTCATTTTTTTATTTGACAGTCTAAGGAAAAGAGGTCAGTGCCACTGGCTAAAGAGTCAGGTATCATTGGTTTAGGGGCCAGAAGATCAGTTTTCTTCAGACACCAGAGACACAGCCCAGGTCTTAGAATCCTCACTCGCTGTCCTGGAATCCCATCTCAAAGATGGCTCAAGTTTTCAGATTGTTCCTTATTCAGCATCTGCTGAACTATTTTATAGAATTTCAAAGGAGCAGCCTCCTGACTTTCTTTTCAATGGAGCATCTTAGTTAAGTAGTATAAGTGAAAAGTGCAGGGAATCTCACATAATGCAATTAAATGTGTTTGCTGACATCAGTGTAGACTTCATCTTGTACTTCTTGCTTACTTTTCTTTCCGTATCGTTTGCTTATGAAATAGCTTCGTGTTTGACTTGGTATACTGCCCAGAAAGTATAGTCAAAGAGCCAAGGTTTCAAAAGTTCAGGCTCCTCTCCCCGAAGAGTAACATGGGCAATCAAAAGAGCATTTCATGTGTACATATCCAAAGTATGTTCTTAAAGTATTAAGAATTCACTTTTCTCTTCTCCTCACCCCAATTTCTTTACCCCCAGCTTCCTAAAAACTCATAAACCATTGGCTCAAACTGGTTGCAAATTCTTGTAGCATTTAATAGACCCAATTTTATTACATGCAAAAAAAAATTAACACCACTATTACTGTAATCCCAGTTAAGGAAAGAATAGTTCTCATCACAGTTTGTCTGCCATAAAGTGATCTTGCTAAGCTTGGTGTTCCTGCTCGTCCTGTCCAACGTACAAGCCAGTCTCCATGTATGGATCACCTGCCTCCTAATGGCTAATCATCTTGGTACTTCCACTACCTGAAACACGGGAGAAGTGTTAGTGGTCTTGGAACAGTGGTTCTTAACCTAAGATGTACCTGGGGAGGTTTTTAAAATTCCGATGCCCTGACCGTATCCCAAACTAATGGAAATAAAATCACTAGGGCTGGGTCCATCCTCAGAATTTTTTAACTCCGCAGGTGATTTCATGAACAGGCAAGGCTGAGGACCAGTGATTTAAAAAACATCTATCATGAAGAGCAGAGGCTAAATATCTAAGTGAAATTTGTAACATTACTGCCTTAATCTATTTTCAGGTTTTTAGGCATGGAGACCGAAGTCCCATTGAAACCTTTCCCAATGACCCCATTAAAGAGTCCTCATGGCCGCAAGGATTTGGCCAACTCACTCAGGTTGGTTGGATTTTTAGCAAACATTGGTGATAAGTCTCAAGGGAAACTAAACATTGTGGGGTTTATAATCTATTGAAACTATATAGCTACTTAAATTACTCAGACCTGGGAAAATACTTTGCACAGTCACCTGGGATCTGAAAGTCTAAACTTTTTCAGTTGAGGAACAGGAGGAACTAATGGTTAGCCTAGTTCATTTCTGATTATGTCCAAGTCTCACCCTTACTGACTAGTTACTGTGGGAAAAGTATAGAGAAGTGCCTGTTTTGATCTTTTTTACTCTGTGGGTTTTATTAAAGGATAAGAGATGTGCATGGACAACGGAAGAATACAGGAGTTTAGAGATGCTGAAGAGTACCAAAAGCCAGCCCCTGAGTTTCTCGGGCTCCACCTGAGAAAGTAGAAAAGAGTCTTGTAATCAATAAGCTGAATCAACAGTGTTGGGGAAACATGATTCTTCTGGAAGTGCTGATAGCAAATTTGATTTCTTGTCAGCTGGACATGCTGGGGTTGTGCCCTCCTTATAGGTGGCCACTCCCACACAGGAAGCCCTACTTCCTATAGAGCATCTAAAAAGAAGCTGGGGAACAAAGGCAAATGCAGTCTCTGCTCCAGTGCCCCACATCCTTCACTTGCAGAGGGCTCTTCTGTTTGGAGCTGTAAGGCCAGGTGCATTGCCTCTGTCCTGACCAAAGCACTGTTTAAGTATATTAAGAAGATGTCAAGGAATGTTTAGAGTTGGATATCTTCAACACTAACGGGTCTTAATCTTGGCCAAACGCTGGAATTATTTGAAGAGCTTTAAAAAGTATTGATGTCTGCCTGGGAGATCCTTATTTAATTGGTCTAGAATGTGGCCTGGATATTGTGATTCATAGAAGCTCCTTGGTTGATCAGGTGACTTGAATGTCAGCCAAAGCTGAGAATTACTGTCCACACTCAACTACAGTGTTTTATAGAGAAGGAAACTTAGAGAGGCTATTTGAGGCGCAGCATCTACTGGCTCTCAGGTCAGAGCTCTTTCCACCATAGCTTACCCAGCTCGTGACTTCCTGAGTAAGAGGTACTACAACAATTCAGGGCTGCTTCTTAATAGTTATGGCTGTATATAGACTCCTGTTCCCTTGCTGTGCTTTTGCAGTAAGACCAAAATACTCTTCCAGATTATGGGATCTGTATTCTTCCTCTGAGCTTTTCGACTAACCATCAGAATCTCCTAGAGCAGTGTTTTTTGATCTTTCAAGCGCAAATGAATCATTTGGAGATCTTGTTTAAAATGCAGATTCTAATTCAGCTGGTCTCACATGGGACTTGGGATTCTGCATTTCTAACATACCTCCAGGTGATGACTTTGGTGTTGGTAAATGGACACCCTTGAAGTAATAAGGTTCTAGAACTGAAATCTTACTCTTGATCATGTACTTCCAATGTGCCATATTTTGCTGTGTATAATGCACACTTTTTTGCCCAAACTTCTGAGGGAAAAATAAGGATGTGAATTATACATGAGTATAATAATTACATACCATGGGTATAATAATCCTGTGTATGATGCACACAAAAACATGGGTGCACATTATACATGGCAAAATACAGGCACTTAATGACAAGTGATGGCTTTCTAGATCAGTGGTTCTCAAAGTGTGGTCCCTGGATGAGCAATATAACCATCACCTAGCAACTTGATATAACTAAAATCTTTGGCCCCATCCACTAAACCCGAAACTCTGGGGTGGAAGCCTCAGAATTTTTGTTTTAATGAGTCCTCCATGTGATTCTGTGTACGGTCAAGTTTGAAAAGCACTGCTCTGTAGAGGATGGCTGTTTCCTCAAAAGGTCAGCTATAAGTTAGAACAACGATGAGACTCAGAGTACCTGCTTATTCAGCTACCCAGGTCATCCAGGAAACTCACAAACCTCAAAGCACACACTGTTCCTTTTTTACCTCCTTCCCCATTCTCTAGGGGGTGGTGGTGATAGTGGCAGCCAGGAGTGACAGGCAAATGAGTGAGTGGGACCAAATAAAAGCCACAGTGACCACGTCCTCTTTGACTTGTGATGCTCTGGTGAAGCTCTGGATTTAAGACAGACTTGAGTGCGGTGTTTCTCAAAGCATGGTGCTCTGCTGCATGGATCTGAATTCTTTGGGGTACTTGTTAAAATGCAGATTCCAGGGCTATACCCCAGATTTAATGAGCAGGAGTCTCCGGAGGAAATGCTTAGGAATCCACATTTCAACAAGCACCCCTAGATAAATTTTGCTTCTCATGCACAGTAATGCTAGAGGACTACTGAGGTAAAGCAGTGCTTTTCAATAATTACTGACCATCAGAATCTTAAGGAGCTTGTTAAAAACAGATTCCTGAGCTCATTCCCAGAGTAGGTGGGGCCCAAGAAATTAGTTTCTAACATACTCCTAAATGATGCTAATAATACTGCTGATCCACAGGCTATACTTTGTAACAGGCTCCAGTTTGTCATATACCACATACAGATAAACTATACAAATAATAAAACATTGCACCCAGAAATTGAAAGTCATCTTCAGATTCATCAAATCCAACCTCTTATCAGATGGTTGAATATCTTCCTCCAACGGCCCTTCCAACACCCCCAAGTGGTAAACCTGTCCTTTGAATGCTCTGTCAACAAAGATGACGATTGAACGTTCTACCACAACAGAGAAGAATCACTTACATAAACCAGGTCTGTCACCAACTATTCACTGTGCAAGGCTCTATGTTAAGTGCTAATGAAGATGCAGGGTTTTCTCAGGGCATCATGACTAAAAATTACGGCTTTCTTTTCTTGTTTTCATTTACAAATGTGTTGTTATGGTGGACCTGTTAAAAGTACACCATTGTCCACTCTACTCATTAGATGAGGAGAGAAGAAATGCATAAATAAGATTCACAGAACTTACTTTAGTAATTTTTGCTTTTATCTTCCCCCCAGCTGGGCATGGAGCAGCATTACGAACTTGGAGAGGCTATAAGGAAAAGATATGGAAAATTCTTGAATGAGTCCTACAAACATCAAGAGGCAAGTTGGGGGAGCTAAAAGTGGGAACCTTGTCCCTCTGAAAGAATTTAACATAATGTTGCATTTGTCAAAGCTCTTTGCCTGTTTCCCAAGGAACTTAAACAAGTCAAATACCTTATTTAGAAATGTGCTTCTCTTAATAGAAATATTTTGTTCTGAAAATAATTATGAATAGGCGTAAGTTCAAAATCTTATAGACATCTATGGCAAATACTTGAGCTTGGCAGGTAGTGGCAAGTAGCCACCACTTAATTGGTCCCTTGTCAATTCAGCTATTGGCATACCAGGTTGCTTTATAGCACGGCATGCTCATAATACTGTCTCTTCCATAATAGATCTTATGATCATGACACTATCACAATGTCTGCTAATATTTTGGTATGGGTATCCTGCCCTTTCTCCAATATAGCTGCACAGGAAAAACCCACAGTGCCTCTCAGTTGGTTGCTTCTTTGATTTTTCCCTCTTCAGATTTATGTTCAAAGCACGGATGTGGACCGGACTTTGATGAGTGCTATGACAAACCTTGCAGCCCTGTTTCCTCCAGAGGGTATCAGCATCTGGAATCCCAAACTGCCCTGGCAGCCTATCCCTGTGCACACAGTCCCTCTTTCCGAAGATAAGGTCAGTATGCTGGGAACACCAGCAGATTCTGTTGGTCCTGGAAGGAGTAATGCAGGTTGCTCAGTGCTTGTAGATTTGGGAGCCTGGACTCTCCTTGGGCTGTGCAGCTTTAATTCTTTCCTAAATAAAGGTACAAAGGACAGTGCAGAACATAGAAAGCCTAAGGCCATAGAAGGTAGGAACAGAATTTCTCTTTGGTTCTTTATTATTTATTTGGCTTTCATTCTTTCAACTTAGGGCAATTTGCCCCTTTCTGTCTACACACACCCACACTCCCCCCTCCCCCTGCCATACACACGGCTCCTAGTGTTCTGCCTTAAGTTATTTTGACAACCCACACAGAGTTCTTCCCTCTCTAAAATATCCTAAGACCTCTTTACCTACAAAGTAACCCTAAAATCCCCATTTCTAGGTAGAAAGAACGAGTTGAGTATATCACTGGTACCCAGCCCTTTATATGTGTTATTGAATTTATCCTTCATAACAACCTTGAATGGGCAACATTATTGTTCTCCTTTGACTGCCAGGGAAATTAGCACTTAGAGAAGTTATCCAAAATGGACCCAAAGCCACACAACTGGTAATCTACACTACTGGAACCAAGCAATTCCAGAGCCATGTCCTTCTCTGTGAATTAGTAGCTCTCAAACTTAGCTGCTTATCAGAATCACCAGACAATTTTTTTAAAAATCCTGATGCCCAAGGCACTCTATAGCAAATCAGAATCCCTGAGATTGGGACCCAGGCATCAGCGTTTTTTAAATCATCTCCCTAGATGATTCCAGTGGACAGCCAAGTCTGAGAACCAGTACTGTAAAGCAAGCTGCTTTGAGAGAAATCCTCAGATTTATTTACACTGGTTGGGACTGATCAAGAACTCTTTGACCTTTTCAGAGGAATTGCTATCTTTTTTTAAGGACCTTATTTATTTATTTTTAGACAGAGAGGAAGGGAGGGAGAAAGAGAGGGAGAGAAACATCAGTGTGTGTTTGCCTCTCCTGCGTCCTCCACCGGGGACCTGGCCCACAACCCAGGTATGTGCCCTGACTGGGAATCGAACCAGCAATCCTTTGGTTCGTAGGCTGGCACTCAATCTACTGAACTGCACCAGCCAGGGCTGCTATTTCTTAATTGTAATAAGTAAATCTAACTGATCTCCCAGGTGTAGAATTTAAGACTATATGAAGGAAATAGTTGGGGACAAGGAATCCTTCTAATTCCCCTGATGCATTAAAAACATGACCGTCTTACCTCTCTGTGGCCAAGGCTTATCATGACCGCTGGACCCTGGCCGTGGCTCAGTGACCTCTCGGGTAGGTGAGTATTCTCTTTGCCCTGCCAGTGCTCCTAGAAATTTGACTTAATTGCTACATCTGGTGACTTAAAACTTTTCCCCAAATGCTTTGTAGAGACAACTCAACCCTGTCAACCTCACTCTAGGTAAATATGCTCCAGCTGATTTTCTTGGTGTTTCATAAGGAGACAGGATTATTTATTTATGCATCTTTTTATCACATAATCAGGAGTGAAATATTATGATTATCAGTGTTCTCAAAAGTTTATTAATATATTCTTCCCCCAAAAAAAGACATTTTTTGCTGCCTTTTCCACTTAGATAAAGACTGGACAGGGCACCAAATTTAGCCAAACTAGTCCAAGGTAACTATTAAACCCTTAATCCTGAAAGATATTAATTAAATTAAATAGTAAAGAGAATACAGGTGCTACTAGAAGAAGAGGAAAATGGGGAGAGTGAGGGAAAATAAGAGAAAAACACGTAAGATTACCTACCTATGTCTTCCAGCTACCTACTTACTAAGATGAAAACAGTTCTCTCTAACATCGACTAAGAAGTCTAACAAAATCCATCAATCAACAGAAAGTGTTTCTCAGAGCCATGCTAAGTGCTGTGGAGAAATATGAAGCCAGGTTTCTATGTTAATTTATAATCTATCTGATGAGAAAAAGCTCACGTGTGTGAAATATGTAGACTATAAAATGGTGAGCAATGATTTCAAATACAATCTGTGCTTGCTGAAGGAGTTCAGAGAAGGAGATGTACATGGAGCTACCAAAAGGCAGTCATTCAAGTCTTCATGGAGAGAGTGGGAACTTGAATAAGACCTTGGAGGAGAGGTAGGAAAAAGGAAGTCGGCGGAAAAACATGGCAGCAAGTGAGCACACAGAGTGCTTGCCCTTCTGTGTTCAGAGTTCATATTTAGAAAGAGTGAAACTATGTTGAGTACAGGTTAGAGAATCCAAATTGAATAGCCAGAAGGAACATGAGGCTGAAAGGCAGTGTCCAGCAGAAGCTTTAAAGTTGGGAAAACCTAGGTCAGACAGCCAACTAATTCAGACACTTGACCTTGAGCAACCCTGCACCTCAGTTTCTTTTTCTGTAAAATGGAAACAACAGTATCCACCTAACTTCTTTGAGAAGAAGTTGCATTTGAGAAAAGTTAGTTAAGAAATATAATATACTTTGTAAACTGCAACATGCTGGGCTGATGTTTAGTATTACTCTATACATTTTCATCCTGACTGTTTCAATGTATGGAATGAGAAAACTAAGGTCTAGAAAGGTTAAATAATTCATTAAAGCCTAGACCTTTCAATGAACAGTCCTGTGCTTTTTCTCTCAGTAACGTCTTTTCTAAACTATGGAAAATTTTGAAAGCCCTGTAAGGAAATTTAGATGTAAAGCAGTGGATTTAAAAGTATATCTTCTTCAGAATGTCAACCGCAATTGAAAAATAAAATTAAACACTTTTTTTCCTAAAAGTATAACACCCACACAATAAGCAGTGCTTCGAGGCATTTTTCTGACAACAGCTTGGAAGAAAAAGATACTTGAGCCTCTGAGAATAACTGTTGAAGCAATTCAGCAATAAGGAAGTGAAGGCCTGAAATTAGATGGTGTAGACGTTAGGGGAAGGGAAGAGAGGGAAGACAAGTGACATGCAGAATCAGAAATGACAGGAAACAAGTTATAAAGAAAAGTTTTCTCAGTAACTATTAATATACTCAGCCCTGTTCCAGGCAACTCAAAACACAGCAGTGAATAAAGTAGTCAAGATCTTGGTTGTCCTGGAGTTTCTATTTTGTAGGAACTAGATCATAAACAAGTAAATAAATGCAATCATCTCAGATGGTGACGAGATGCTTGAAGGAGCTAAAACACGGCAATGGGGTGGGGCAGGATGGTCAGAAAGTCCAGGGTGGGAGTCAGTGGGGGAGCGTCTCCAGCAGGGAACAGTCTGCAGAGACCTCGCGCCTGTGTGTTCAAGGGACAGCGGAGCCCCACAGTGCGGCTGGGAAGGGGTGAGAGAGGACGGTAGGGGGAGGGCAGGGCAGAGCAGGCGCTGGGCGCCGAGGGGAATTTGGGTTTCCTCCTAAGTAAGATGGAAAGCCAGTGAAGGTTATGAACCACAGAATGGCATGATCTGCTGACGCTTGAAAAAAGATTAGCGTTTGCAGAAGTGAAATAAAAAGGGCGAGTGGAGCCGCTCCTGGAGAATGAAATGTGAAGGTCGAAAGAGTGGACCCCAACTGACCAAGCAGGACGCTCTTGCACTGAGTTGAAACACCGGTTATGGTGGCTTGGGCTAAGAAGGGGAAATGCAGTTAAAGAAAAGGGGTCTATTCTGGAAATATTTTAAAAGCAAACAAGCAAAAGTAATGACTTCATGGAGCAGAATGATAAATGTTGCCATTGGTAGAACTAGAGAGGTTGTGAAGAGGAAATGGTTAAAAGTGAAGAAGTTGAGTTCAGCTTTGTACATGTTAAATTTGAAGAAGAAGACTACCATCCAAGTAGTGACATCCACCAAGGGCTGGACTAGCCACAGATGGAAAGTAAGAGCAACAAAATGAACTTGGGAGTCACCATTTGTTAAAACTACAGAAGATTGTTGAACTTAAACTCATTTTAGTGTGATCACTTTGTCCTCATTACAGGTCTTTAAATATATTTTTCTATTCTTCCTATTGATTTAATAGGTGCCTTCATTTTAGCAGTCTGAATTTGCAAGAATTAAGTCAACAAATGGTTAATTGATTCTTTCTAGGATCTGTCATTTATTTCTCTGTACTCATGTGAACCTAGAAATAAAAGGGGTCAGGAAAAAAGCAAGGTAGTGGTTATTATTTCACATGGAAAACCAGGAAGTGTAAATATTTACCAACAGCACAGTCCTATTTAGGCAAATTTATGAAAGAAAAAATAAAATGTTTTCAGTTCTGGGTATATATCCTATTATTTAAGACCTGCAAACCATTTATCACTTTCCCTTCAATTTTAGAATTTCTGTTCATCTCAAAACACATTTGAATCTTTTATTAAGCTCTCTTTGCATGTTTACAACATGGCTGCAGCATCTTTAGGGAAGCTCTCCTGACTCATAAAGGTTTTATGATTTTTCTTTTGTCCTCAGTTGCTATACCTGCCTTTCAAGAACTGCCCTCGTTTTGACGTACTTTGGAAGGAGACTTTTAAATCGGAGGAATTCCAGAAGAGGCTGCGCCCTTATAAGGTTAAAAAATAGTGTCATTTAGTGGTGTGAGTGTGAGGACCACGACAAAGGATGAAGCTGCAGCTTCTTAGAAGTGTGGGTGCAACGTGTCTGCAGGTGGCTGGTTATGGCAATGGGTTAGACTGTTTAATGAAGGTCAGTCATTACTACCTGGTCCCCATTGCTGAGCTGGGGCCACAAGTCAGTAAAGAAGCCAGTCTCTTTCGGATCTTGGACCCATGTCCCTGAGAGGAGCCAGGTGAAAGCGTGTATCTGGCTCAGGATCGATGCAATGCCGGAGTGAGAGGCTGGGGGGTTGGGACTATTGTTTGCATGTACAAAGGATCATTTTGGTTTTACTTTATGTTTCCACTTTGTGACATACCAGTTTTCAAGACTATACAAAGTGTAAATATGTGCTTGGTACTTTTAAAAATAATATTTTGAATCTGTAATACATTTATAAGTTCAAAAAAATATATATATATATATATAAAGGAATACAGTGCAAAGTCTCTCAGTGCCCCCACAGGTAACTGCTGGCAGTACTTTCTTATGCAGTCTTGCAGAGTCTTTATTCATATGCAAATAAATTTAAATATATTCTGGTACCTTCCCCCTTTATTACACAAAAGTGCTATATTATTTACAGTATGGGACACTTTTTTTTTAAACAAAATATCTTGGAAATACTTCTATATTTGTACATAGTTTCCTCACTTTTTTTTTTACTACTGTGTATTTGAACATATGGTCATACCACAATTTATTTAACCAGTCTCTATTGAAGGAAATCTGGGTTGTTTTCAATTTTTTATTTTTATAGCTGCCTGAATATCTTGTGCGTATAAATAATTTTCACAAGAATATCTGTGGAATAATATCCCAGAAGTAAAATTCTGGAGCAATTTAAAATATCAAATTACCCTCAAGACAACGGTTATACCAATTTCTACTCCTCTCAACAATGCATGAAGACTAGTTATTTCTCCACAGTCATGTCAACAGTGTGTAGACAACGTTAGGGATATTTGCCAATCTGTTAAGTAAAAAAATGGTATCACTAGACACATCTCCTCCAAAATCAGGAATGAGACAAGGAAGCCCAGTGTTGCTACGACATTGGGCTGTGGTAATTTTTTCTCTTATGATGACTGAGCTCTGGTACCTTCATCTTGTTTAATGCTATTTGTTTCATGAAAATATGCTTGGGTTAATATTAGTGAACTGTTTCCTAGAAAATTTCTCCATCAGACAATATCTTCCAAAATGCTTCCCAGAAATTGCTGCCAATGTCATCAGGCAAGTAGCTGAGCAGTGGGTCTCATTATCCTGACAATCTAAGAATAATACAGAACCTAGAGAAATGTTTGCATCCCAAGCATATTTCACACATATAGCAAGATACCAGGTCCTGTTTCTGCTGTGTTTTCCTGGGATGCTTTGGCCTGGGACATGCTTTCCCTTCTCACCTTGGCCAATCATTTATATGTGAGTTATACTTAACCTATTTCCAAAAAGAATGTTGAGACATTGCACGTCAGTCTGATTCCAGGACAAACTAGGAGCATGTGGCAGTAAGCCAGCTTTTGCTCATATTTTCAAGGTAATAATGAGAAATGATCAATTAGTATTTGTAAAATTCTTTAAGTTGGCATTATCATAGCCAATATTAATGGCACACCTTTCTGTAAAGAATAGCTGTACTTAACTGGTACTTAACTCACAGGGAACATTTGGCAATGTCTGAAGACATTTTCGGTTCTCACAACTGAGGGGACTAGAGAGAGATGACGCTGGTATCAAGTGGGTAGAGGCCAGGGATACTGCTGAACATATTATAATATATAGGGCAGCCCCCATAACAAAGAATTGTCCAGCCCAAAATATCAATAATGCTGAAGTTGAGGAATCCTGGTGTAGAAATTCTTTTTCCCCCTGTGTGTGTTTCAGGATTTTATAGACACGTTGCCAAAACTTTCAGGATACCATGGAAAGGAACTTTTTGGAATTTGGACTAAAGTCTACGACCCTTTATTTTGTGAGGTAAGAGAAATACTAAAAAGTAACTTGCAACCTGATTTTGTCTTATGCCTACTTTGAAATAGATGGGTACATTTTCTCTTGCTTCTTTGCAGATGTATTACTTATACTTTCTTTGACATTGCAACATAACTCAAGACTTCTTGTATTAACTTGAACATTCTGACTTCTTCTCACCATTACTTATGTTTTCACCTTTTAGAAAATTACAAACAAAATTGCTTTTCTTCTATGCTTTGTCTCTCAGGAATGCTGGGTTCCTGTCATGGATTTTAATGAAAAAACACAAAGTTATTGTACAGTAAGGGGAAAAAAATTATCTGATGTCTGGATATAAGAACAAGCAAACCGGCTTTAAGCCAAGCTATTCAATATGGTTTATTAGGAAAAGAGCTCCTTCTTGGTGTTTAATGCATACCAAACGACTTTTGTAGCTGGGTAAATTACTGAGTGTTTCAAGGACACATTGCATTTCTCACTCACTATGTGCCACCTACTGGCCAAAAGGTGGTGCTGGTTTCCAACCAGCTCACTGATTCCTGGGGCAAAAATTCTGACCACCCACGTGGCTCGTACCCCTTCTAATTTTGAGGACATTGTGAGTGTCTGGGGCGCATCAATTGTTTTCATCTGCTTCTCAGTAACAGATGACAGTTTCCCCCCCACCGCGTCAAAGTTTTTTTGACCCAAGCACACACTTCTTTCCCAATATTTTTACTTTTCTATCAGCATCTGTTTGAAGGAACGTGTGTTAGCCTATTTATAAAAGACTCTTCAATAGAGAAAAGAGCCCACATTATTATTCCAGTCTTGATTTTTTTTTTCTTTCTTACTACCATTTGATCTCAGCTATTCCATAATGTAGTTATGGTGTGTGGTTCCTTTTCACCTCTTTCTCTCTTGTTTCCTCACTTTTCTTAGGTATCCACTTTTATTCCCCCCTTCCCTCCCCTCCCTCCCTCCTGCCATTGAAACTTGGGCAATCTTAGTTAACTCTTCATAGCAGATAATAAATATTGGCGCAAGGTCTCTACCTGCCCTGTTGTACATGTACAGTCCAGTCATCAATTTGACAAATACTCACCAAACGCCTACTGTGTGCAAGTGCAGGCTTTCCTCAGGAGTCGGTGCACTAGAAGCTGATGGCAGTGGGAGTACATTATTGAAGGTTCTAGAAATATATTACCTTTCCCATCCATCTTCCTAGGCTGCTCGTTCAGCCCTTTTTTAAGGAAACAGTCATCTAACCGTGTCAGCTTGACCTTCCCCCCAGGTCAATAAAAAGATTTCAAAACCTTACATAAAAGAATAAGGTACACTCTTGCCCTACCTCACCCTTCCTCTGCAAAATATGAATCATCTTTTGACCCGGAGTAAAGCCAAAAGCTAAGGACTTGGTAGAAAGGGGCAAATTCGTTTCTGTGAATTATTCTTCTGAAATTCAATACCACTATTTACCACAAAGTAAAGTTTTCCTAGAAAGAAATGGCAGGACAAGAAAGGCTGGACCCAGTAGTTCTTGTGGAGTGAAAGATGATAAAAAGTTAACAAAGAGGGCAGTCAAAAATAAAAATACATGTTTTTTTTCCTTTTTCTTTGCTGCAGGGTACTCACAATTTCACTTTACCCTCCTGGGCCACAGAAGACACCATGACTAAGTTGAAGGAATTATCAGAATTGTCCCTCCTGTCCCTCTATGGAATTCACAAACAGAAAGAAAAATGTAGACTGCAGGGGGGTAAGTACCTTTAGAAACATGAGAGGAGCAAATTGGATTTGTTGTTGCACGATATAGCTCTAGCCCAGGTTCCACCACTACTCAGCTATGTGACCTTGGACAAATCACTTAATCACTCTCATACCAGTTCCCATTGTGCAAAATGGGGATAATAATGATATTTACTTCATAGGTCATAAGGATTTAAAGGAACAAATATATTCAAAAAGTTTAGAATAAATTCTACCTGGTATATAATATGCTGGCAATACACATTATGTGTTATTATAATTTTCAGTATTACCCATTCTGGGCCTTCTGGAAATTGAAAGCTTTGGGCTAAAGCTAAATTATGCTTTTCATCATCTTTAGGTCAAAATCAAGGATTTTGTGTCTGAGCCCCATGAAAATCAATTGTGTCTGGTGGCCTATAGGATGAATTATTCAAGCGGGCAGTATGACAAAAGTGGCCTGCGTTCCTGAAACCCTTGATGTGAAAGTTAATAAAACATATTTTTCAGGCTAATTATGCCCTGTAGGTTAATACCTATTGCAATTGACAAGCTCATGACTCAGCTTAAATTTTTCCATTGGTGTTGAAAACATTTATTTCTCAGTGATGCCTCTTCTCAACTAGATATGGCCCTTCATAGCATATGAATTCTATCATGATGAAGTAGACTGGGCAAGAGGATGCCAAGCCTTTATAATCATGAAAGGTGGGTGAAAGAAAGAAGCCAGGACCAGGCAGGAGAGGGCTAGACACTGAGACCTCTCAGGGCATCAGGTAGGCAGGCCAAGATATCAAAGGGTATGTCAGGTTCAGGTGCTGTTAATGTAGGCGTTAAAACTAAGGATGGAGAACAAGAAAAGGTCCATTATGGCACATTGACATAACAATGAAGCAATTTGAAGCCACAGGAAATGTTTCAAGTCATATGCTCTACACAGTTTGAGGAAAACAGTACATCCACAACAGGACTCCAAACATGGCCAGACTCTATTTGCGATGGGGTCAGGACAAGTTCTGCAGAACCCCTAGAGAATACATAGAGGCAAAGCATCCTCGTGGTTGGACCAGACAGCGAGGAAGTTCACCCAGGGCTGCATAGCTAGAGAAAGAATTCAGATCACCAGCCAGGAGAGGAATCAGTTGTAGCTACAAAAGAGTGAGGAAAGCTGTAACCAGAAGGACAGATAATGAGGTATGAAGTCAGGATGGTCAAGAGCAACTCCATATGAGGTGTACAAAGTAGCTTGTGGCAAATACTTTAGGACAGTGGTTATTAATGACGTGATGAAGTTGCAGGTCTGCTGTTAGAATGTCTTGATTGCACGGCACAGAGGCAGACCTGATAGAAATGTGCAAGTTCTTATCCTATGCTAAGGGCATAAGCAACAAGATCCAGCTCTTTGGGGGAGCATCCAGAGATGAATTTTTAATGGGATCTGGTATGTTGGGGGAAATTACCTGGCAGGATACAGACTGTGTGTAAGGACGGAGCCCAGGAAACAGCTCAACTGTACAAAACGCAGCAGAGGACGAAAGTTGGGCCTCGTTGGCTATATAAGCACCGGGCCTCATACATGGACCACAAAGTGCCAGCATTATGACTCAATACCAAGCCCCATTAGATGATGGAGCCAGGATTCTTGATTTATTTCTTTCAATCTAGTCATAATGGGCTCAGGAATTTAACCCCTTGCAACCCAAAATGCAGTCCAAGGACCAGCAACATTAGCTACCATCCAGAAATGCAAAATCTCAGCCCCCACCCCAAACCAGCTGAATCAGAATCTGCATTTTAATAAAACTCATAAGAACCTCATACATACATTAAAGTTTCAGAAACACTTTTCTAGATGCAAGAGATGGTGAAGACCAGAAAATCCAGGCCAGCATTGTCACTAGCCTAATAATAGATGCAGCAGTCTGTACATGAACACAAGATAAGGTTTACCCTAGCAGCTTGCTGCGGTTTCTTCTTTTTTTAAATTTGGTTACTAGAGGTTGTATTTCACAGAAGTCACTTCCCCTCTTGGGTCTCAGTTTTCCCGCCTGATGAGTGTATTCAACTGGGTTCTCTCTGTTAGAGTCCTTCCCTGAGGTGTGCTCTTAGCCTTGGACTCTTAAGGGCTGGTCCTCGGGTAGGGGGGGACACAGCTGTCCTATTTTCCCGAGGAAGTCCAGTGCTATTGAAAAGCCAGGAAGTTGTTTCCTGAGTGATACCTGCCAAAGCACCAGCTCAGTCTATTGTTCCAATCGGGGTAGGCAAGAGAAACTTGTCAGCTACATGCTTGTTGAATGATGAAGAGGCCGGATGCCACCCCGCCGAGAAAACGTGTATTGTCTGAATGACACAGAGTCACATGGGAACATCAGCATTTAGACCGGCATCTTCTGACCTTTGCCAAAACTCTGTGTTCTATCAGTTGGTTTCAGGGATGACACTCTCGGGTAATATCCTCCTTATCCTCACCCAACCACACATATACACCACCCCCCCCAAGAAAATCCTTACAGTTCATTTAGAAATATCTGGCCAGTAACATTCGTATTAATGGAAACCTCTTCTTGCTCTAGACCAGGCGTTGGCAAACTACGCCTTACGCTTCCAAATCCAGCCCGCTGCCTATGTTTTGTAAATAAAATGTTATTGAAACACAGCCACTCTCATTCTTAGGCTGTGTCTCTGGCCACCTTTGTGTTTCCACCCAAGAGTGAACCATTGTCACAGACACTCTGGCCCACAAAGCCTAAAATATTTACTACCTGATCCTTTACAGAAAAAGGTTGCCAGTCTGTGCTGTAGCCCAAGAGTGAGTGAAGTGGTGTTCATGTTTTCCAATCAATGGCGTTTTGTCTAGTTTATGCAGATTTAATAAATGATGCAACAGGCATCCCAGAAGATAGCTGGTATTACAGCAGGGTCTAATGACCAAGAGCAAGGGTTTTGAAGTAGGACGTGCCGGGTTCAGAGAGGCCCAGCCTGTCTGCTCACAATTGTGTAATCTTGGACAAGTTGCTGAACTTTTCTGATTCTCAGTTTCCCCTCCTATAAAACATCATTCCTGGGATGCCAGAGCTTGGGCATAATTGTGATCATTTCCCCTAGTTTCTCCTAAAACAATGTGGGCAATCCCTCCAGACCAAGAGCTAATATCTTTCCATTATCAACACTGAAGGCGGCTGCAAAAGCACCTCCTGACAAGGGACATGTTGATGAAGGTTGTCATGACTCACAGAAAGTTGACCACAGGGTTTAGTACCAAATGTGACATGAAGATAAGACTAAAGTCCAAGAAGAGCTCCCTAAAGGCAGCTTCCCTGGGACAGAGGGATGTAGGCCTGCTGGAGATGTAGCATCCAGATGCTTCTATTCTTAATCAAAGTCCTAGCATCCACAGAAAGCAGGTCATCTTCCTCGGTAATTATCCTTTAATGTGCTTGTTGCTATACAGACCAATAAAGTCTCTTCTTATTTTTTATGTGCTTTTTGAGGACTGAAAACATGTCTGATTCACCGAGCAAAGTATCTGGCCCAGTGTGGCTGCTCAGGGTGTGTCTGTTAACATCGATGCCCTGCTCATTAAAAACACAAAGAAAGAAACAAAAAAACTGGTTATTCTCAGGACAAAAGAGCACATGTGTAATAGAAAGACCACCAACAGAGACACAAGGGGTCTTCAGGTGATGGTGGTGGGAGTCCCTCAGGCAACATGTCCCCCAAACAGCGCCTAGCACCTCAAGGTACCCCCAGCCTTTAGTGTCTGCAGACAGGGTAGAGACCGGGCTGTGCATCTGCTTTTCACTGCCTCAGGAGCAACGACTGTGAAGGGTAGAAGCTCTCATCTCTGCAGACACAGGAAAGCTAAAGATGCTGGCGGCCCCACTGGTAGTGACATCCAGGGGAGCCTGCAGAAATGGTCCACAGGAAACAGTCCGCAAACAGTACAGACACCTAGAGAGCTTTCTGTCAGGATCTCTAACAGGTCCAGCTGCCGGAGAGTGAAAGGAAGAGGTGAAGACAGAGAAGTACATGGCCTGCTGTCATTTCAGGTCTGCCCTGGAGAAGAGTATGGGCTAACAACTCTTAAAAAAAAAAAGAAAGAAAGAAAGAAAAAGAAAGAAAGAAAGAAAAAGAAATCCATCTAAAATCTCTTCCAAATTCCTCAGCTTCCTAACCTGAGCTTTAACAAAATCTAATGTAGTGGAGTCCCGGTATGCCAGGCCAGCTCTCCTTCCCCAGCTATGTGAGGCACTAATATCTCCAGGCCTCGGCTTCCTCACCTAGAAATGGGTACAAGTCAGGATTCAGTAAAATAATGTTTGTAAGTCACACTGCTAGCACACAGCAGATGCTCATCCAAAATTAGTTCTTCTCCTCTCTTCTTAAGCCTTTGAGGATCATGGTGGAGAGAACCATTAAGTATGAATTTACTGAAAGCTTATTAACTAAAATAGAAGCCCGTGTTTGTTCCAGCTCCATGGCTGATCTATCTTTTTTAAGGTGTCCTGGTCAGTGAAATCCTCAAATACATGAAGAGAGCAACTCAGCCATCAAACCACAGAAAACTTATCATGTACTCTGGAGTAAGTATTTTTGATTCCACTCGACCCTCCATTTGTTCAGGGGTGTAATCTCTTGGCAGTGGGGGCCTCATCTTCTTCATCATCATTTCCCTATTGCCCAGTAAATGGTAGACATCCGTTCAAAGCTTTAAAATTAAATACATAATTCTGGCCCTTGAGTTTACAATTTAATACTAACAAGAAGACAAATAAACATAAAAACACCACGCAAAAAAAATACGGAAACTGGACACAAGCCAGTGCTTTGGTGCCTCAGAGAAGAAAAGCATTTGCTTCTTTTCCAGACCAAGGCATCCACAGGAGAGGAAAAGCTTAGTGTGCAGGACTTGGTGATGAACTGGAATGTGGGTGGAGGGCAATGACATGCAAGGTAAAGCCACAGATAAAGGCAGTGTTTCAAGTCTTGATGACTGCAAGGAAGCTGGAACCATGACCAGAAGTGGTCTTGGGCCAGGTGACTGTACTGGTTAGACAACTGGGTTTGAAATGCCCTGAGGGTGTCCAAGAAGAAAACTCCATGTAGCAAAGGGATAGGTAGAAGACAGAAAAAGAAGAGGAGTTGCAGCTTGAAGTTAGAGCTGCATGTGGGTACAGGAAGAAAAAAGAGAGAGATCCATCTTGGAGCAGGAGACGGAGGAGAGACAGAGTTGGAGGAGAGTTTGCAGGCCACATGCACTGAAATGCCTGCCCATGGGGCCTGGGATGAGCGGGAAAACTGGACATAGAACGCTGACTCGGTCTTTCACCCGCTGTCTTCATGACAGAGGACCTCCCAGGTGTGGTTTGCCTGGAGAGAGCCATGTTTTCATTCTGCGCAGAGATGGAAGCGGTGGTTGAAGACTCTGTTTATCATCAGGGATTCTAAATGGTACACTAGTGGGCTAGAGGAAGAGCTCAGAGAGTACAGGGCTTCCTGGAGAGAGGAAGACCTGAAAAGTCAATTATGCGATCTTTCCAGTTTTTTTTAATTGAATTTATTGAAGTGACATTGGTTAATAAAGTTATGTAGATTTCAGATATACAATGCTCCATCTTTATATTCCATCGTGTGTTTACCACCCCAAGTCAAGTCTCTTTCCATCACTATTCTATCAGTATTCTAGTTTTTAATCTGGTTTCTAATTCAAACTTGTGTGACTTCTGGCAAGTCATTGATCTGTAATGCCATTTCTTTCTTTAGCAAACCAGTCCTAGCCCCTTTTGAATATGTGTACACTGCAGTAGCGGTCAGGCAAAAACAAATGTTATACTCATTTCATGTATATGGAAGTTGAGGATTTCCTAAAGTTAGATAGCTAATCAGTGACAAAACCAGTCCCCTACGCCTCCCAGCTGCTCTTGGGTAAAGAGTGGACAATTATTTTTTAAGCTACACACTCTGCTTCTTTACATTTTATCCTCCCTAAACATTTATAATGTCATATAGCCTCCCCCTCCAATTTTAAAACCGCAGATTCTTCTTATCTATACAAAAATAATCTAACATTAATATGTTTCAAAATATTTTAAGATTGAATGAAAACCAATGACATAAACTGAAACAGACACCACTGGGAACAGACACAGGGGGAAAAATCACAAGACTTGACTTAAATGTACTTTCTTCTCTATGGGATTACATGACATTAAGCAAGTTGCTTAATTTCTCTGGGTCTGTTTCTTCATCTTTTAAATGAAGTAATGATATGTATAGAAATCTCACTGCCTAGCACATAGCAGATGCTCAACCAAAATTAGTTCTTTCCCCTTGTACTTATTAAACCACTGGGGATATGGGCAACTTAATTTTATCACAAACTATCACGGTGCTCTGCACATGCTTAATACGTACCTATTGAATGTAAGTCTGAACCAGAGGTAAAGATCAAAAATTTGTTTCAAATCTTTGTAGCATGACACAACTGTGAGTGGCCTGCAGATGGCGCTAGATGTTTATAACGGAATCCTTCCTCCCTACGCTTCCTGCCACTTCATGGAATTGTACCTTGAGAAGGGGTAAGTGTCTAGGAGGTTCTTTTCAAAATTATCACTGGACCTGAAGTTTTGTTATTATTTTTACTGTTAGCTAGACTATATCCTTAAAATACTTAATTTTTAGTTAGGTACATAAACTTTAAAATCCTATGCTATATTAAATAATGCACTAAATTAAAAATACTACTTTTTCCCCACTTTCACATCTTACGAAACAATTTACCCAAACTTTTATATGCATCTTCACTTCTAGTGGCCTTCACCACTAGAGAGAAATTTGAATCCCCTAAAATTGTTTACCAGATATATTAACTAATAAGAATGATTTCAGTTGTTGTAGAAACCCCAAATTCTTGGAGGCTTACCTAATCCAATGGAGATTTATTTCTCACTCATCTGACAGCTCAATGCAGATGTTCTGACCAGTAGGAGGTGACTCATGGAGTGAGTCACACTTAGTGATTCAGGGACCCAGAGTTCCATCTTTCGGACCTGCAATTTTCAAGAGCCTGAGCTCATCTGCAGGAAGCTTGCAGAAAGGAACAAGAGGGTGGAAAAAACAACCTGCTTAGGAACCCTCTTAACCCAGAAGGGGCACATATCACTTCTACTTACTTTCTACTGGCTAACATGAGTCACTTGGTCCCACTGAGGTGCAAAAGCATCTGGGAAATATAGCCACTGTTCAGCCATAAATCTATCCTATGGAAAGAGAGTCATGAATTTTGAAGGACTTTGACGGGTCATCTTTGCCATATCATCTTGAGATTAAAATGCTGTCACTGGAAAAGCTGCCCTACAATAGAAGAGCTCATTCACATACTATTAAGGAAGTTTCTAAAAACATCTTAGAAGTGAATATTTATTTGTGTAGTTTTTTAAAGTTATGTTTTAAAAGGCTTGTTTATAACAACATCCAAAAGTAGCAATAGTGCAGTTACTGCTTCCTACCCCACAAAAATCCCTAAATCCATCTTGAATTTCTCTCTTTCCTCTTTGGCAAATGACTTTCATAAGTGCCTCAAACTAGCTTTACTGAGATTGGTTTAGGCCCATGGACCTTCCCGGAACAGTACACTGTTTTTTGAAATCAAGTATGGAGGGAGCCGTCTTTAATATGAGAGTCAGTAAGAACTTGAATATATAACTACTCCCTCATTTAGAAGTATAATTTTGATAAAGTTTTTGCTGTATATTCAAGCAAACATGCTATGCAGTATTCATATGCCCTGGTTAAGGAGAGGGGAGATAGATTCATTCAGAGGAAAAACTGAAAAATACTGAGACGAGAAAAAGAAGAAGCCAATGAGGAGCATAAAAGAGAAAGAATATGAGAAAGAAACCCCAACACTCCACCTGCCACGCGGTTCCTTCTCAAAGACTCATCAAATCACCCCCAACTCCTCCAACCATAGACTTTCAGCCTCTCAGCCTCTCCTCTGATTAAGTGTCCCGGCCCCCACCTTCTCTGCCCTGGTCATCTAAAAAACCAGCCTCCCCCCAACTTTTTACGCTCCAGATCTGGCCCTCCTGACCCAATATCCCCTCTCCTACCCCTGTTGGTTAAAATCTACTTGTTCCCATCAATTCTTCTACTAGTCCCTCAGCTGATGTGTTACGGGCCAGACAGAAAGAAGTTTAGGGGCAGTTCAACAACACAGAACTAACAGAGCTCTCTCCTCTCCCTTCCCCCACCAGGGAGTACTTCATAGAGATGTACTATCGGAATGACACTCGGCACGAGCCATACCCCCTCACACTGCCAGGCTGCACGCCCAGCTGTCCTCTGACGAAGTTTACTGAGCTGGTTGCCTCCGTGATCCCCCAAGACTGGTCCGCAGAGTGTAGAATCACGGGCAAACATGAAGGTACTAAGGACGTTTTGAACTAGGTTGCATGTGAAGCCCTGCAGAAAGGGCAGAACACCCTGTCTTAGGGTGGATTGTGCTTGGAGAATATAGCTTGGCCATTACCCCCCAGACATGAAAGAAATAGTTTTGGAGTGATAATTGTATGCTTCAGAGACCCCTATTTCAGGCAACTCCTACATCTCTACCTGGCCCTGCTCTACCCCTACTTGCCATAAACCCTGACTTGACATTTTTCAGTGTTAATATAAAAGGGCATCAAGGCTAAATTAATCAGAGAAAAAACTTTGATCAAAGTTCATGGGGCTGCCATGAACTACATGGTTGGCCACTTAGGACATCTTGTTGTTTAAAGATTTCAAGATTTTTTAGCAGAATCTAAAAAATCTTGAGGCTGTTCTTTGAGTGCCTGAAGTGGAGCAGATTTCAAACAAAATCCATAATCTTGGTGAGAGCCAAGAAGAGACTTTAATCCTAAACTAATGGGCAAAGAACAAACTTATTCATTATTCTCAGCCTTCTCACAAGAAGCAAAGAAGTGAGATACAGTAGAGAGACCTGAAGAAGTCTTCTACACCAGGAAACTTGGTCCTATATTTTAAAATTTCTGTTAAAATGCTTTGGGTGACAGAGCTGAAGAATAAATACCTTTTTGTATCCTTTGGCCCTGGAAAACTCATGTTACTTTTGAAGAAACCAAAAGCAAACTTGCCAGAGAACTTTGCTGTACATAATACATATGGCAGCTCTTGGAGTACAAACACCATAGCAAGTAAGTAATTTGATGAGAACAAGATAGTGAGGCACAACACAACAGAGAGGGGAGACCTGCATGAGTGCAGTTGCTCTTGAAGCTCCCAATGGGAGGAAATATTGAATGTGGAAGTGATTTAAGAGAAGGAGTATGATGACACATTTCAAACTGGAGCACAATTAGAAATATCAGAATGTCCTGAATGCCTCCAAAGTCAAAACTTGCTGAAACGTTGAAAGTGTGGCTGTGATACCTGCTCTGAAGACAACAGCAATGCATACGGCTTTGATCCTGGTATCTTCAGAAAACCTAAGCACTCAGGTCCTGTTGAAACTACTCATTACATAAGAAGAAATCATGTTCAGACAACAACTCTTTAGAGCCCTGTAGACTTGCCATGTGCCAGATGTAATACATGTAGAGAACAACCATATTCCATTTACAGTATTCCATTGTGTAAATGTACCATAGTTTGGAATACTGTGCAGCGAGAAGCCTTCTCTGACATTCCTACCTCTCTCCCTCCAAATGTAGGTAGCTTCTATTCCCATGGCAACCCTTGTAGTCCTAAAACACAAACCCTTGTTATTCTGTGTAAATATAAAGAGCTACTACCCTTCGCAACAGCATGGATGGAACTGGAGAGCATTATGTTAAGCGAAATAAGCCAAGGGGTGAAAAACAAATACCATATGATCTCACCTGTAAGTGGAACATAATCATCAAAACAAACAAGCGAGGAAAATATAACCAGCAACAATGAAAGAAAAAAGAAACTGACAGTAACATGAGGGGAGGAGGAAGGGAGTAACGGGGAAAAGAAGGGAAAGGGTCAAGTCAAGGAACACATACAAAGGACCCATGGACAAAGCCAAAGTGGGGAAGGATTGAGGGTGGAGCAGGGGAAAGTGGTGACAGAAAAATGGAGACAAATTTATTTGAACAATTAAAAAAAAACACACGCGTCCCAATCGAAAAAGAGAGAGAGAGAAGGCTTCTTGCAGGAGGTGACAACAGACCCATCTGAAATCAGTAAGGATGTAGGTTTCTAATGGAGTGGTGCAAGGTACTTGGACATATCAAACATTCTAGTGGCTTGAAGCTGGAAAGGATAGGGAAGTTACTCAGCAGAAGATTCAGAGTTCAAAGCAATTCCCACAGGTTTCCTTCAAGAGACCAATTACAAAGAGATAAAATATGATCTCCACAAAAGCAAGGATTCTATCTGTTATATTTTCTGCTATATCTGTCTTCAGAACCTAGAAGTGCCTGTGGCTGGCATGGATTGGCACTGAATGAGTGTATAAATTAGTTACCCTTCCTCCCTGAACCTACTCCAAGGATTGGGGGGAGGGAGACAGAGAGAGATAGACAGACGGACAGACAGACAGACAGACATTGATTTGTTGTTCCACTTGCATATGCATTCATTTGTTGATTCTTGAATCAAGATGATGCTCTAACCCACTGAGTTACCCCACCAGAGCAGATTCCATCTTAATTAGCAGCAGTCTCTAGTAACCTGGGAGTTAGTTTAGATGCACCCTTTCCTTCATCCTCCTCAGTTAATCTGTCACCTCTTACTATGTTTGTAGAAATCTTTTCCTCAAAATAGTGGTTTTAAGGAATTCTCAAGTTCTCAGTCTCAACAATTCAAGATCCATATAGAGTGAAATATAATTAAGCAGCAGAATATGTTCATTAAAACAAACAAACAAACAAACAAACTCGGGGACCGGTGAGCTGGAGCCAGCTCAGACAGATCAAGAGTGGGATGTGTGCTTCCCAGCTCTGCATTCAACAACTTCATTTTGTCATGGCTGGAGTATTTTCACCACAGAAGTCAGCATATGCCACAAATCAGAGTGTTGTTTTTGATTTTTGTTTTTTAAAAATGTTTTATTGTTTATGCTGTTACATTGTTTCCCCTTGTTTCCCCTTTCGTCCCCCTCCGCTCAGCCCTCCCCCCACTTCCATAGTCAATCTTCACACCATTGCCCATGTCCATGGGTCCTCCGTCTATGTTCTTCGGCTAATTCCTTCACCTTCTTAGACCCAGTTACCAGCACACAACTGGTTTTACCTCATGGAAATCATGTTAAGAGTCTGTAACATGAGGTGGTCTTCAACAAAGTGAATTTAATATTTAAACTTATTTAAGTAAAATGGATTGCATTTGTCCTATACAGTCTCACACAGTGATGCTCAGGGCAGCAGGTGAACATTCAGGAAGACAGATTGTGTTCATGTTAGGAAACTTCTGGGACTGAAATTGTCTCCTGGGCTGGGTCATCAGTTGCCTTAATAGAGACTGTAGAGCAGTGAATCATGGAAGGTTGTAGGGGCTGAATGACTCCTTAGATGGGCCACCAAATTTATCAAATAGAGGTACAGGATGC